GGGGTGTCCCCTTTGGTCCACCTCGACAAAGGACGGGAGGAAGTAGGGCCCCGGAATACACATTATGCATCTACTCCGGCGCGCAGCGCAGAGCCCTTGGGCATCATTGAGGTCTCGACGTTCTTGAAGTTCGGGCCCTAATCTCGAGCACTCACCCGACATTGAGGGGGGGGGGGTCACCTCGGGTCACCTCGGGTCACCTCGGCCCCTCTCGGCCCCTCTCGGCCCCTCTCGGCCCCTCTCGGCTCTCGGGCTATGCGCTCCTCTTGCCGAAGCTCTCGCTGTCGCCCACACACAGCACCTCGCCGCCGGCGCTAAAGACGACGACGCTGTGGCACGGCGCGCCGCTCGTTGCGACGAGTATGCCCTCGACCCCCTCGCCCCACGGGTGCTCCGCGCCTACCGGGACATGTCCGCGACATGTCCGCGACGTGTCGTGGGCGTCTCCTCGCCCCACGGCTGCCCCGCGCCCGGCTGCAGCTGCACGTAGGTCAGGTTGTCCGGCTTGAACTCCTCGGGCACCTGCCACTGTATTGTGCCGCAAGTGCCATTATGCGGCGGCGACGAACTACTCGCGCCCGCCGCCGCCGCCGCCGCGTCGGCCACCGCAAGGCCCGCCATGGCAGCCGCCGGGGCCGCCCCGACCGCCTCCGCCCCGTCCGCCCCGTCCGCCCCGTCCGCGCGGTCGTTGGGCGGGCCCGGCGGCTTGGAGTGCGGCCATGCGACCGCGCCCTCCCACCGCAGCAGCCGCCACCGGTCGAGCAAGCCGACGACTAGCCCCCTCCACCTACCGGCGAGAGGCTTGGCGGTACGTGCTGGCGGTGGACGGAAGGCGGCAGGGAGGAGGAGGGCAGGGAGGAGGAGGAGGAGGGGGGGGGGGTGGAGGAGGCGGCAGGGAGGGGGAGGGAGGAGGAGGGAGGAGGAGCGAGGAGGCAGGTCGGACACCGCTTGGAGACAGCGGCGCACTGCAGCGCGGCGCGCAGCCCGCAGAGCTCGATCACGCGGAGGAGAAGGTCCTCGCCCAGCTCCTCCTCGAGGTCTGGCGGCGAGGAGGGCGGCGAGGCGGCGGCGAGGGACGAGGACGGGGCAGACGTCGGGGCAGACGACGAGGTAGACGCCTCTCCGCCGGTGCCGAGGGCGGAGGGCGCACCCGTCATGGCGGCGACGCTCTGCCAGAACACCTCCACGACGGAGCGGCGCATCGCGCGGGGCTGGGCCGGCGGCGGGTCCGCTCGCGGGGGAGGCTGCGGCCGAGCGGCCGATGGGTCGAGGTGGGACGACGGCGACCAGGGGTCCCACGGCGCGGCGAGGGAGTACTTTGAGTCGGTGAGCTGGAGGTTGCCCGCGTCCACGCCCTCCTTGAGCGCCGTCAGCAGGTTGTCGAACGGGACGAAGCCGGCGTGGTAGCCCGGGTACGGCTTGGCGTACTCGGGGTGCTCCTGCTTGAGCCAGGCGAGCAGCTCGGGCCGGCCCATGCTCCGCTGCGAGAGCGCGATGGTGATCTGCTTGTTGTACGTGATGTTGGGCAGTCCGATCGCCGCGTAGCGACACAGCTCCTCGTGGGCGCTCAGCGGCGGCGGCGCGAAGTTGAGCCCAGCCTCCACGTGCTTCCTTAGGTGCTTCGTCTGCGCACCAGGCCGGAAGATATCGCGCCGCCGCCACGGGATGTGGCGCCGCGGCGCGTCTTCCGGCGGGTGGTCCTTGCTGCCGCTCGGCGGGTCCGTGCTGCTCGATCCGCCCGTCATCGGCGTGGCAAGAAGGGAGGAGGGGAGGGGAGGCGGAGCCCGCTGCGCGGTTTCAGCGGTGGCCGGCCTGCTGGTGGGGTGATCCTCGCGTGCGGAATAAAAAAACCTAGACAAGTTTAATGTAGGTAAACCATAGGGGTGGCCTCAGGCATCACCAAGGGATCCTCTGCGGTGCCACATAAGCAGCTTAGTGATTGTCGGGACTTTAAAGGATTCGTTTGAAGATACGCAAGCAAGACAGACGGTACTATGGACTATGGTCACCAGTAACCCATAATTCGACTTTGAGGGATCATATCCCAAAAAGCCGGGAGATAGCATCGCATTATTGTTGCATATTATGCCACATAAGGTCAAACTTGACCCCACAGGCACATCAAGAACCCGATGCTCCGGCTCGACTGTGCCGGCACACTGCCTCCTCGCGCCTGCTGTTAGCAGGCCGTCGCGGCCCGTGGTGCACCAGAGAGAGAGGTCGATGCGTTGCCCCCGCTGGCGAGTCCGCGCAGCTCAGGCCGACCGGGAGGTGTGTGGTAAGCGCTCGCCGCTCGACGCGCCCGCGGGCAAGGGCAAGGCTGTCCCCGGCGCGCCCGACCTGTCCTACTCCCTGTGGGTGGCGGTGGGAATTCTTTTTTGGGTGAAACTATGGGCATCATCTGTCTCGCGTCCACCCATACCGCGTTGGTGTCCAGTCCGAGCCTGGCTGTTCTTCACCTTCCTACTCTAACCTAACCTAACGGACAAGGGGGGCGGGCGTCGCCGTCGAGCGTCGTCCCTCTCGCAACCAGCTAGGGCCTCGGCGCTAGGGGATCCCCCGCGTGACGTGTTTGACAGAATTTGACTTAATGGATTATGCAAATTAAAACAGACGCCCACTGAGGAGCCTCCTGGCCCGACGGCAGGCCGAACATGTGGGACATCACTTACGGGTCCTCAGTCTCTGATCTATCTCTCGACTCTCCCCCCCTCCGCTACCGCTAGGCGCATAAGGCGCAGACGCGCCACTCTCTCTTTCTGGTGGGCGGGCGCGAGGCGCATGCCTCGTCACCCTCCACCGCTACCCAGCCTCTCTCTACCCTCGCGACATGAGCTCCACCTACTCCGCCTCTGCCCTCGCAACATGACCTACCCCGCTCTCTCTGCCATCGCAACATGGGCTTGCCTACCCCGCCTCTGCCCTCTCGACATTGCCTCGCCGCTTGTGCAAAGTGCGCGCGCCTCGTCAGGCAGCGTGCCGAGGCAGCGCAGTCTGCGGGAGCGCCTCGATGCCGCGCCGTCTCGGCGCGCCCCCCCCGCGTGTCGAACCCCCCGCATGTCGAACCCTCGAGGATGCTCCGCCGGCGTGCGCCGCCTCCTCAGGCGCTGCCATACGCGCCCATCTCGTACCGCGGCAGCTTGTGCCGCTCCGACCGGTCGTGCCCTCCCCGCTCGCCCCACCCGTCGCCCGCCCGCTCGCCCTCCGATCCGCGCCGGTCGCCGCGCGCGCCGTAGGCGGAGCGGCCGCGGCTGGCGCTGTCGCGGTGCCGGCTGTCACGCGGCCGGCTGTCGCGGCTGCGGCTGTGGCTGCGCCCGCGCTCGCGCTTCCGCGCGAACCAGAGCTCGCGAGAGAGGCGCCGCTCGAAGTCGCGCGCGTCGCGAGGCGAGAGGGAGACGGCGCCTGCAGACACCCGGCCTCTGTGGGGAGATGCGGGGAGGTGCGGGGAGGTGCGGGGAGGTGCGGGGAGATGCGGGGAGGTGCGGGGAGATAAGGCGCCGTCCGACGAGAGCTCGTCGTCGTGCGCGGCGCGCGCCTGCGTGGTGGATAGACCACCATGAGGGCGGGAGTGTGCGGTCTCGTGCAAAGTATTCAGAGCACCGTGTGAATACGAGGCGGACACAAACACAGTGGATACGGCGGAGTCCGTGTCCTCTCCAGAGCGGGTGGGAAGACAAGAGTGCGTCCTCCGCGTCTACGGTTAGGGGGCGCGCCCTCGCGTGAAGTTGAGGAC